TATCATAAATATATCCATTATAGAATCTGCAGTCCAACACTAGCTTTTTCCCATCAAAAAAATATATTATGTGGCTCCATTGTTTGTTAGTGTAACTAGATGACCCGTTGCACCGATGACGCAAAGGGCGAGAGCAAACCAAGCTTTCAAACCTGAGAGTAAGAATATTTAGAGACCGATCCTTAACTCTTTGTACACTATGATGTTCCACTGGACCGATCATTAACTTCTTTATCTGTACAACAAGTTGGAATGAGCAGTATTAATTGTCTTACTATCTTGTTGTACAGATAGGAAGACTAATGGTTAGCACTACTTTAGACCTACACACCTGCTAAGTGTTTTCCTATCTTTCAATTAAGCAACCTGTCTAGGAATTAGTTGAATTCCTAACTATGTGTCGAAAGTTGGGCGCACATTTGGGTATGACATAAGGTCCATAATATTGCCTGAGGTTATCTTGTAATTGTTTTGAAATAGATTTCTATGAATCGATGTTGGACTAGACTATATATTGACCAATGATGAGAAGTTGGTAATCAGTAGAGAGCGGCCTTCCTGCACGCAGCGGCAGATGCACGCAGCGCATCGACGGCCGTGCTGCGCGATGTGATGTGTGCAAAAGAAAACGTGAAAATAACTAAAGCTGACATACATTGCTGGATACAAGCAAATACACCGCACACATCGCCTCCGGTGGGCTTGCCTGGTACAGGTTTTGACGTACGCAGGGTCGGTCCGCTCAGAGCGTGCAGAGGGTACATTATTAATTTTGACAGGCGGGCCCTGGCTTGGTGGCGTGTAACCAGGTTGGGGCAAAGACCACGGGATCCCTTTTCACATCTGGGGCAAAGACCACGCCAAGCCGGAGGCAGTGGTGGCGCCCGTGGTTCGTCAGGCTCTGCTCATGGCGATTTCTGAAGCGGCGACGCCGGCGACTGGTGCAGAATCTGGGTGAGTGGAACTCTGCTCCTGCATACCATTTGTCGTTGGAATCTATAACTTACGAGCTTGCTCCGCTCGCCGGTACTGCAGATCGATGTCGGCGGTCAACGATCCAGGAGCACGCTTGGGGGCGTCCATTTCGGGCGGTGGCGGCGCCGCGGCGGCCGAATTCGGTCGTGCGAGCGTTCTCTCTTGATATGCGCCAGCCGGATCAGGGCGGTGCCGTCGTTGGGCGACATGTTAGTAAAAATCTGTGGCTCTGTTCTTGCCGGTTGACCGCGCTGGTCTATGCTATCCTCCTTCCTCCATGGTCCTGTCGCCTTTTGCGAACCAATTTTTGCAGATTGGCCCGCACGGCGAGCGCTCCAGATGTGGTCGGGGGTGCACACGCGGGGTGCGGCGTCGAGCCGCCGGTTTCCGAAGCACATGTGTTGGGGGGCACACCGGCGCCAGATGTGGAGTCATCGGGGGTGTGCACGACATTGAGCTCTGGCGGCGGCGCTTGGCCATCGGCGGACATAGGGGTTGGCACACATTCGTCGGGCGTGCAGGCGGCAGCTCACTGGGCGCCGCGGCTACCTGCAGCGGTGGTGTCGCTGGGCGCAAGAAAACTAGTTACTTGGGGTCTGTATCTCCGATTTTAGTCATCTGTCTTGTGTCTTTGTATCCCTATTTGATCCTGAAGGTCTGTATTTGCACTGGTTTATTTGCTTTCGATTGGGATTCGAAAGACTTATGTTCTGGTTCATTAATAAAAGCCATTTGTTTTCTACGAATTACGTTTGTATTTCCTTGGTAGTTTGAGCTTACCAGACTGGATGGGAGTGTTACAGGTGGAGTTTTTCATCCAATAATTGAATTACTAGATGCGAACTGCAAGCCTTCTCCATTCCAAGTCGTGGTGTCATTATCGGCAAAAGAATCGCTTTGTGGCAGTGATTTTTTTTGCCAAGGGCTGTGAAATCTATTAACCACTGGACATGGGGATGGCACTGACGATAGCTGTGCTCCGCATGTACCATGGCCGTGCTGCGCAAACCAGTGTGTCAGTAAGTACTGTCAGCCCGGTCCCTTCCTAAATACGCATAAAACGGCACTCTCCATCCCCGCACGACTATACTCTAGGAAGCATGCCAGCTTGGTCACCCTGTGCATTTCAAAACCGAACCGAAAAACCATACCGAAAATAAACCGAACCGAACCGATTTTATGGTTTTTATGGTTTCTGGTTTCGGTATGGTATGAACTTTTCATACCGATTTGAACTTTGATTTTTATGGTATATACCGAAAAACTGAACGGTTAACCGAATAAACCGAAGTAAAAATAAATTTATATTTCTTGAGATGAACAACTATACAAGTTGTCATTTTTCTTGTGCATGAGTCAAATTCACTAATAAGCATGTAAAATTTTCTTGTAACATAGTCATTTTTCTCTTTTTAAAATGCTAAGCACGTCCATAACCATCAACAGATGAATTAATGCATGCATATATACTTATATATATATAGTCATATACTATTTGTGTAAAATAGTATGTGTTTTGAGTCATAAATTTGCAAATTATTATTACGTCATTTTCAAATTCGCGTCAACTTTGGTTTTCATGGTATATACCGAAACCATACAGAAATAATTTGGTATATATCGAAACCGAACCGTATTTTAATTTCATACCGTATTTACCGAAGTATTAATACCGTACAAACCGAAAAACCGTATAAACCGAACCATGTAAACCGAATAAACCGAACGCACAGGGTGACAGCTTGGTGCGAATCGCGATGGTCCTCCCGCCGTTGATGCCGCGCGTGCAGCTGCCGCTGCGTGCAGCGCTGCACTTCTCGTAATCAGTAGCACTATATGTTGCTCTTTTTCATCAGTACAACACAGATGGGCAGTTCCGAGTCATTGTTCTATATTTTGTTTAAAACTTTTTTTAAGTTCCCGCATTTGATTTGCCCCCCCCCCTAGCTAACATGAATAGGTATCAAAGAATTCACATAAATCATCTGTGACTCCTCGTTCTTCTAAATATGAAGAGAGAAGTGCATATTTCAACCCTGAACTCTTGTCCTAGTTTAATTTACAACCCCGAACTTTAATACCGTCTAAATTACAACCCCCAAGTCTCAAAACCGGGCAGGATTCAACCCTCCCCTCTCTGTTGACCGGTTTTGACCTGGGGTGACCAGTTTTGACTAGTCAACGGGTCCAATCAGCATGCCACGTGAGATTTTTTTTCAAAATTTCAAGAAAAAGAAAACAAAAATCTGTAAGATCAGGAAAAAAATTATAAAAAAGCAAAATTCCGAAAAAATTGTTCGCGAAAAAAGCTAGGGAAAATAAAAAATGATTTTTTTCTGGAAATATTTTTTTTCTGGAATTTGAGTTTTTGGGTTTTTTCTGGATTTTTTTGGAAATTCGTTTTTTTATTTTCCGTGTTTTTCGGAAATTGGATTTCTTATTTCTTTTCCTGTATTTTCTTTGATTTTACAGGTTGTTTCCTTGGAAATTTTGCATTTTTTGTTGATGTGGCATGCTGACTGGACCTGTTGACTGGTCAAAACCGGTCAACCAGGTCAAAACCGGTCAACAAAGAGGGGAGGGTTGAATACTGACCGGTTTTGAGAGTTGGGGGTTGTAGTTTAGACGGTATTGGAGTTCGGGGTTGTAAATTAGACTAGTCCAAAAGTTCAGGGTTGAAATATGCACTTCTCTCAAATATGAATAACATGGAGTTGTTCCAAGTTAATTATCCATGTTTAGAAAAACCATGAGTCTCCGATGATTCCGTGTGCTTTTCTGAGTTTATCTTGATGCTTGCAGGCGGAGTATGTCAACGTCGGCGCTTAGACAAAATTGTTAGCGAAAATTTAGTTCATGGGCTTAGATTTGCTCATTTATGTTGTACACATGAAGCGGAGCAATGTATATTACTACTGTAGATCGTTTTGACCTGCAAAACGTGTCATATTTTTCTTGAAGTCAAAATTTTAATTATGGAGTTTGTTTTAATCATTTTGAAGTCCTGGCAATTAAGCTATATACCATTTATCTTTTGTTACCCGTCTTCTTTTTCAGTAGTGCAATGGGCGGTCACGAGGAACAATGGGAGACTACCTTCGTACTGTATTGGCAGGATGTATGTAATTCAGCCTCGGCCCCTGAGGACCATGAGCCCCCGAGGATGTTGACAATGATGTGCTGCCAGAGTGTGACCCCAGTAGCAATGTCAGTCGTGTGCAGCATAAGGTTCAAAAGTGTAAACACCATCTAGATTGTGTTCTTCGTGTGTGCACCCAGGGAAGTGACTCTGGAAGGAGGTTTTTGGGGTGCCCTTACGAGGTTAATTTTATTCCTACTTGATTTTCGTACAACCCCTATATTTATGAGTGTAAAGTAATTTGTATATTTGTTGCACTTCGCAGGATTATTCCACTGCATGTGATTATGTCAAGTAGAAAGTAGTGGCTGCACCCACTCTCGATGCACCCACGCAAGAAAACATATCAAAACATTTCGGAAAAATATGAAACTTCATGGAAATGATGATCAACAAATGTTATGAGGGCTTGCAAAGTTTGGTGGTCAAATAACATTCGAGAAGCGCTCTACAAAAAAGACAAAATTGCAAAATCTGCTCAAACAGTGCACGTACATTTTGACTAATTTTCAGTGATTTTGTCTTTTTTGTAGAGAGCTCCTCGAATGTTATTTGGCCACCAAATTTTGCAAGCCCCCATAACATTTGTTGATGATCATTTTCACAAAGTTTCAGATTTTTTCAAAATGTTTTGATATGTTTTCTTGCGTGGGTGCACCGTGGGTGCATCGAGAGTGGGTGTAGAAGAACCACTCTCTTATGTCAAGTGGGTTGACAAAGAAAGAGGGGAGGACTAGAAGTGTTATCACTGAGCTTGCCAGCCAGAATTTGATGCTTGAGTAGAAACTAAGAGATAAAGAGGCCGAAAACAAAAGATTCAAAATGAAGAGGAAGATTACTGCTAGAATGCACAAGTTGCAGCTCAAGTCTAAGGATACCATGCTACTAAGTGATGTTTTCATATTAGTTGTATGCCATTATCTTTTGCAATTGTTGGCAACAAATACTACTCCTAATATAAAATTACTAATTGATGTGATGCACAACTAAGATTTACTTGTCATTGCTTTAGGTTATGTATAGTAGCATGTGTCTAATTACAGAAAAAATTGCCTGGGCAACATCATTTTTTGTAAAACCGTCAGCATTTACTAGCGGCGCCGGAAAGAAGCAGAATGCCACTATTTAATCATTGACTACCAGCGCTCGAACAGTATAAACGCCACTACTATTTTCTTTACCTATGGCGTTGTGGCTCCTGCACCACCTATAAGCATGTTAGCAGGATGTTGAGTACCGACGAAGGTAATGTGCAGTCAGTTAGTGGCGTCGGGTCTTGACACCGCTAGTGAGCCCTCATCACTTGCGTCATACTAGTGGCGTTGGACCTAAGCACCGCTAACGACGTTCTCCGAACGCCGCTAGTAGGCATTTCTGCACTAGTGATATAAAGAGGTCTCACGTCTTCTCAAATTCCAGGGTGAGACTAAACTTTTATCCACGAGCCTTCTTTTTTGAGATTTCAGGAATTTTATATGGGCCTAGCCCATTGTTTCTAACAAGGACACAATGTACTGGACACAAAACGTTCTACAAGACTGTAGAAAATTAAACCGACCATGGTTAATAACTGCAAACTCCGCCTATGTCTTCTAGGCATAGCCGGTCCCAAGCCCGGGTAAAGGAGGAGGGTTGTGATAGGCTTGGCGAGCCAACGTAAAAACTAGCCAGTCCCATAGGTATGAAACCCATTTGAGCGAGAATAGTACTAGGATGGGTGACCTCCTAGGAAGTCCTCGTGAAAGGGTTTCATATCTAAGGGTTGTGATAGGCTTGGCGAGCCAACGTAAAAACTAGCCAGTCTTTTGGGTATGAAACCCATTTGGGCGAGAGTAGTACTAGGATGGGTGACCTCCTGGGAAGTCCTCGTGAAAGGGTTTCATATCTAGCCTACCCCAACTTGTTTGGGATAAAAGGTTTCGTAAGAAGATGGTTAATAACTGCACGCCTTCAAACTATTCCACGAACGCAGGTTCCGGGGATTCAGTGGTGCTGCAATGCAGTTTCCTACACCTAAATTTGATCCCAGTCAATAGACGATGAGCCGTGGTTTTCAAAACTGTAACCAGGTTGCCGTAGACGGTTGCGACCCAGTTTGCTCATCGTGGCAAGGCCTGAAAGCAATAAATTACAAATTTTGAGGATGCATGGCGTTGAATACTGAAAAGACATTATGTAGTACTTCAAATTACTAGTGAAAAGGAAATGTGTGAAAGCTTGTCAGCAAGTGAAAGTAAGCAGTTACCTTGGATGACTTTGTAAAGTGACGACCACCACCTATCAGGCGGAAGCGGAACCTCATACTCGGCGAGTGATTCCTCGATTTCAGTATTGTGCTTCCCTTCAAGGACGCTGTGCAGGGTGATTACTGCATCCCTTGTTTTCCTGAGGATGTTGTTTCCGTCCGCAGCCTCCAATGAGAGGAGGTCACTGTGGGATGACGCGAGGCTAGCAGCAAGCGCAAACTGGGCAGCGACAGCCCATCGGTTAGACGCAGCCCATTCCCTCTGAATATCTTGCAACTTACTTTCTTCCTTTCGCAGCCGCTCTTCACCATTGCCAAGCACAAGAGACTGTTGGATTTTTCACAGAAAATTTGAATCAAAATGCATATCAATGTTTGCACTGAAAGTAGGCCAACGATGTATACTACTTGAGCCAAGGAATAGATAATGGATTGCGTGCAGTAGCCCAAGTTAATGAAAGTTAATGACGATACTCATTATTAGCTCTGTTCTATGCACAAGTGCATATGTCAAGATTATAGAAAATAAATATGGTAGCATCTGCAGATTACCTTAAGATACTCTGCATTGCTAGGTCCTGTACTCTGAACCATCTTGGAGAAAGCACTTCCCTCGTTGCTCACAAGATTCTCGGGGGTGTCAAATTCCGAAATCTGAAACAAAAAGTATTACCTTAAACTAAGTTTGAGTTGTGCAGTTGAGGCAAACAGAATAAATCATGCAAGTATGACTGAATATGAAAAAAGAGCAGTATATATAAACTTCTTCAGGTGAAGTGAACAGATCTACTTGCAGCAATCTATCTCACAGCTAGTAAAATATTTAAGTATATAATACACCCTTGAACTCTTGTTAGATCCCAAAAAACGTCCACACCCCAGCTAGCAAATCCTGGCTTTGACTGGCATGAAATAAAAATGACATGAATATACTAGCATACAAATTCAAATGAGACGCATGTCCAAGAGTGAAAGAACAAAAGCTGCAGACAGGCACATGCCCAAGTTACGGCTGTGTGCATCCTGGGATGCAGAGGCCGGGTTACTCCCCTTTTTGAAAAAACAGACACATGCCCAAGAATGAAAGAGCAAAGCTCTATTCAGTATCATACCTTCCCAGAACTTAGAATAAGCAACCTGTCACAGTCGATGATGGTATTCAAACGGTGAGCGATTATAAGCATTGTACAACTCTTGAATTCTTCTCTGATTGTCTTCTGTATAAGAGCATCAGTTTGAACATCAACTGCTGCTGTTGCCTCATCAAGAACAAGTATCTTTGCCCTTCGTAGCAATGCACGAGCTAAACTCAGCAACTGCCGCTGTCCAACGCTAAAATTTTCACCGGCCTCAGAAACCTGTTAACAGAGTGATGCTCAGTAAGAACTTTCGACATTGATTATTCTTGAAAGAAAAAGGGATCTATTGTAAAAGGTGGTAAAAGGAACCAATGTCTGGTCCAAATGTTTATTCCGCATTAAATTCCCTACCATGTCAAAAACAGCAGTAGTCTATTGTTTACTGTTTAGCAACCCCTTTCTAACATTGTAAATAAACTCCTAGAACTACATAGATTGACAAATGCTTACCAGTTCCATGTGCCACAGTTAGTCTGGCACCACAAACTGATAAATTTGTGCAAGAATTTATCATTTGTCAAAAGAACAGATTTTTTTCTTCAAAAAGGGGATTACCCGGCCTCTGCATCACACGATGCATACAGCCATATTATTAAACATGAATCAAGTTCCAGTCACCGAGTGGCAGACAGTAAAACAAATAAAGAACAGGATATCAAAGAATATATTAACAGTATAAGATAAATATATTAACAGGATACCAAAGAATATATTAACAGCTTACCTCAGCATCTAGTCCTAGAGCATTCCTCCTTATGACATCTTTTAGATGAGCCCTTTCAAGAGCCTCCCAGAGATCCGCATCATTATGCTCGCTGAAAGGATCCAGATTAAATCGAATAGTACCTGGATAGCCATACATTAAACAATCGTTCAAACAAATAATTGAAGTCATCGGAAGAATAAGCTAGAAACACATATTTGGATTTCTGTACAGAACTATTGTACTAATTTACAAAAAACACATATGAAGATCTTATATGTATAGTAACAAACCTGAAAACAGGACTGGTGCCTGTGGTATTATTCCTAACACTTTCCGCAGATCCCAAATTCCAAACTTAGATGTATCACAATCATCAATCAATATTCTCCCACGCTCCAGTTCCACGATGCGGAACAGAGCATTAAGCATGCTAGATTTACCAGCACCTGTTCTGCCAACTATTCCTACCTTCTCACTTCCATTAACAATGAATGATATTCCATGAAGAACAGGTGGAAGTTCTGGTCGGTACCGAAGCACAACATCTTCAAACTTGATGATACCAGATGATGGCCAACCAGGAGGTGGCCTGTTATCCTCAATGACAGGAGGAGCCTCAGAAGGCAACTCGATGTATGTTCCTACCCGTTCAACCGCATTCATACTATTTTCAGCAAGACTAGCAAGACGAAGAACAGCTGTGAGCAGATTGGTGATATTGAGGGTATAAGTAAGAAGAAGACCCATCATGGAAGCAAAGGCCTTCTGATTCTCTGCTCTTTGGTTTTGCATCACAGCAAATGTTGCGGTGAACCATATCATGATGCCACCCAGTGTTTCCAGCCGGATGGCTAGCCATCTATTTGAACTCAGGTTCATGAGTGTGAACCTGATGTTGTTGTCCATTGATTTCCCATTGATGTTTGACATTCTATCATAGGCTTTGTAGGCACGGATTGTCGACAGACCATTTAATGCCTCTGAAAATTGGGCATACACAGGAGACCTAGTAATAGAATCCATGCGCTTTACCTCACATGATGTAGTCTGAGAAAACAAGGTTATAAAGTGTCAAGAAGGTACACGTAAAAACAAAAATACAGTTGCTTAATTGTCATCTTGCATGAAATTACCTGGTAATAAAGGTAGGCTGCATAAAATAAAATGAGAAGTGGCATGATAGCCCAAAGAGACATAGTGCCGACAACACCAATGAAAACAAATGTTGAGAGCAACTGAGATATTTGTGCCATAAACAAGTTGACAAAGACAGCAAGATTCCTGTCAATGTCACCCAAATCCTTCGAAAATCTGTTGATGATCCGTCCAAGTGGATTGGTATGAAAAAATACCATGGGAGCTCTTAATATAGACCGGAGCATGTAGTCATGCAACCTCTTGGCTGCTCGAAGACTTGACGTGATCAGCCAGTAAGAATTCGTGAGAGTGACTAAAACCTAAACCAAGATATTGTCAGTTCGTCAGCTCGCACGTGATCAATCAGACACACACACAAACACACACACACACACACACACACACACAAGGTGGAAAAAAGAAAAGGCAATGGGTATAAGTACCTGCCCAAAAGAAAGAATGCCAAAGATTAAGTTGTAGTAACCAGGGCCATGGATTTTCAGAGAACCCACATCAGTCCAAATGCTCAACCATGTGCTACTTGAAATCCGTAGAGTTTCAGTCAGTGTATAGCACAAGAAGAGAACGGACACCGCCCAAATACCCCCCATTGCATTTTTGTAGCTGCAAAATAAACATAGTAAGTAAGCATATTTTCGAGGGCTTTATGATCTATTATGAAGTCTTATAGGATATTTAAAGGTACTAAAGACGCTACCAACCTAATTGATATCTATACATTGATAAAAATAATTTAAAAAATACTGAGCTTCAGGCAACATAGATAATGCTAATATAGATATATGCATAATCATCAGCCTACTTTACACCTTTTTTCGACTCTGTATTATATATCAAATATGATATTGCATGGTAGTAGCTTTTACCGTGAAAGGACCTTTGTACTGACAACTCCAGTTTCATGTTCCTCTTGCTTAATAAGACCAGATTTTCCCTGTTTTGTTTTACTTGAACTATCCTGGCTCTTTTGCGGACCACCATCAGCTATTACAACGCCCCCATTTTCAGTGTGTTTTATCTCGTCCTGTGATTTGCTTTCGTCTTGTTTCTCTTCTGTTTGTTCCTCCATCTTTCCAGCATTTTCCATAAGTTTTTTGAACTGCTCCCCAGAGTTACTAAGTTCATCAAATGTACCCTCCTCTTTAATTACTCCATCATGGATCAGCAGAATTTTATCCACGTATGGCAGAAAATGCAGCTGATTAGTAACAAGGACCCGAGTTTTATGTCGTAGCTCTTCTTTGATACATTTATCAAATACCTGCATTCATAAAGGGCAATTAATAACATTATGTAGTAGTATTAACACTAAGGAAGAAAGGCCATGGATGAATATCTACACAAGCACCAAAAACATGGCTCTGATACATGCCAAAACAATGCCACAAAAGTCTCTGATAGTTTTATTTTATTTGTCATACCCAAAATATGGAATAAATTAGGGTAAGTTGTCCAACATTTTTCTCTCGTTCCGGACTTTAGTTCTATACACTATAAAGTGGGAGTTCAAATAACTACATAAATAGTGTATCCATTATATATTATCAAGCTAGGATGTTATATCTTGGGTATCTGTTGAAAACAAGTTAAAAGTTATACAACAATGCACGTCTTAACTATTTCTGAAGAAAGATTGGCTATGTTTAAAATGCCCAATAATGTCCTTTGGCACCTACTCCCTCCGTTCCGAATTACTTGTCGCACGTATGGATGTATCTAGATGTATTTTAGTTCTAGATACGTCCATTTCAACGACGAGTAATTTGGGATGGAGGGAGTAGGTATGAAGAGATCAAGACAAAAGGATGAATAAACCCAACCAAAGAAACATCATCACCAACTCCTAATCGTCGAGACTGTGAGTACGCAAAGATTAAAAAATAGAAAGCATCACAGCGGAATCAAGATGAATGCACCTGTCGACCAACATGGGCATCTAATGCACTCAGTGGATCATCAAATAGGTAAACATCTGAATCAGTATAAACAGCTCTTGCCATTGAAACTCGTTGTTTTTGCCCCCCACTAATATTAACTCCCCTTTCTCCAATCTCTGTGAGATCACCACCCTGAAACAAGGACAAGAAAATCCATTATTTGTCAGTTGGCAGGTAAAAGAAACAAAGTAGACTGTACCAAGACACAATTTGGATATAACCAGCCGAAATGAAAAACTAGGAAGTTGTCCTCTAGCAAAGTCACTTCGCCAAATGACAACTAGATTTTCCAAAATTACACACATTGATTTTTGTAAAGTGGGATAGTTGGAACTTGGAACTTACTGGGAGTAGGTCAAGGTCATGTCGTAATGAAGTAGCATCTATTGCTCTCCCATAGCTTGGAGGTTGGAATGGAGACCCAAACAATATGTTATCCCGTACCTGTAGACATCACAAAAAATTCTCCTTACAGTCATAAAGGGTTCGATTAGCAGAACAATAGCAATAAGGATATTGTATCTCACGGTAGCATTGAAGATCCATGAAACTTGAGGAACATAAGCCACCGATCCATGAATGACCACTGAGGTATCTGACCCTGATACTGGTGGTATTTCACCAAGCATTGCAGAAATAAGAGAAGTTTTCCCCTCCCCGGTGCTTCCTACTATTGCAACTAAACTGCCGACAGGCACGTCCAGATTGATATTTGATAGTGTTGGTCGCTCAGCCTGCCAATGTTTGAAAATTTAGTTCTCAAGCAACATCATGGAATAATAGGAGAACTAGGAAAATGGAAATATCTTCATATCACAACTGATGGGGAATAGCACCCCTCAAAATAACCACCAATTCCTTATGAACTAGTAAAATACATCTCCTCGCCTATCCATTAATTAGCTGCTTTTTCGCAGTTGTCATTCCCATTAACAAAGCATGCTAGGCTGCTAGACTATGACGACTCTATTCCCGTGTCAAGCTGTGTGAATGCTTTCCTATAGATAATATTTGGGCCACAAAATCAGAAAATTCGTGTTCAATGTAAAGTTGCATGTGCAATAGTAAAATAAGAACATTGACAAGTACGAAAAGTTATCTGGACCTAATATACCTGCAATTCCCATGAAAAGTTTCCATTCTTGATAGAAATGGCTGGAAGCTCAGGATCAATAGGTGGATTTGGCAGAAGTATTCTTCTCATCAGCCAAGAGGAGATCTTCCAGTCGTTTCAATGAAATCTTACTGTTAACAGCCTGTTAAATTGAAATGAAAAACAATTAGCAAACCATGTCAAGCCATCATTTGTTTCAATAAAAATGCTAACTACAACAATTAGCTATCTATGTCTGCCACAGAAGAATGAAATTGAAGGAATAGAAAAATCATAAATGTCTAATAATCCAAAGTTACTTGTTAACTTGTCAGTATTTTGCAAAATTACTTCATGAAAACAAGATTTGCATCATTTTGCTCACCTGAGTTATCAGATTTGGCAGCAAAAAAAGTGGGAACCTTAACACTGCAAATAGTGAAAGAGAGGTAAACGCCTTTGCTGCTGTCAACTCACCCCCCATCAGAGAGTAAACACCAAACGAAACCACCGTGACAACGACAGGAATACTGTTGAGGATAAAGCTATTTAGCTGCAACAAGCAAGGAAAAGTAAGGAAAGAGGGTAACAGGCAAAGATTAGTGAATGTAAAAACTCTCAGTCCTATTTTGAAGTCAAGTAACAGCACTAATTTAAAGTAAACCCCGTGGGATTAAGAACCACCAATAGAGTTGGTGCTATAGCACGGAACTCCGATTCTCATATGGCAACAAAGAAGTCCGTGTGACAACCAACATAAAAAAGAACGGACAAATACGCTGCACAATGAAGCTTGAAACAAGTGAAAGACAACCTATCTCCAAGAACCTTATGCAGGTAAAAGAGGAACATACCGCATCAAGCAATTGAGCACTGCGAAACCAGGAAAGCTCATCGTCACGGATGTCCTGCACCTTTGACTGGAAACTTTGCTCCCAAGCGTAACATCTAGACAGGGAAACAGTTGGGACAGTTTATACCAAAAATATATTATACAAGTATTAATACTAATGAAACTGTAAGTAGATGTAAGCATACTTGACTGTATCCATCGCAGCTAATATTTCATTCATGAGACTGATTCGTCTGTCAGTCCTTTGCAACCCTTCCTTGGTAAGTTTTTCCATTTTGCTTATGATAACTGTCTGATAAAATGAATACACAAAAATTTTAGCCAGAACAACCAATGTTGAAAGCATAAAATGTGTATTTAAAATTGAAAGAGATAAGAGTAAAACTACTATAATTTAAGGGAGATATATCATTTTTATAAATGGAATATGGTAGTGGTATCCAACTGCAAATTGTCCAAACGGCATTATTGGCTTAAAGGGGAAAATATAAGTAGTAAAATGATTGAACCATGATTAAGGAGTTCAACTGTGACCCCAAGTGAGAGAACTGCTTCAACCACTACTCATTCTGGATATTACTTATTGCAGCTTTGGTCAACTCCAATCTACATATTGGGATAAATACATAGAAAAAACATAACCAGGAGTTTCTGAGATAGGAATTCAGCATGTTCACAGCTATTCCCTCCGTTCGTAAATATAAGTCTTTCTAGAGATTTCACTATGGACTACATACAGATGTATATAGACGTAGTTTAAAGTGTAGATTCACTCAATTTGCTTTGTATGTAGTCCATATTGGAATCTTTAGAAAGACTTATATTTAGGAACGGAGAGAGTACATGATTACATGAAGGCTATAATATGAACTCTAGGCTCTGCAAAAGAATCTATATATGAAAAACATCTTTCTCTAACATAAGTAGCAGCGAATGCCATCATGAATCACATATTTAGTAATCTTGGGACTAGAACAGAAGGCATAGACACCCTTCAATATGTAACACACGAGTTTTCATAATTGCCCATCCCTAAAGAGAAATATACCTGAATTGGGAACAAAAGAGCCAGCATGATGGCACCGACAAGTGCTGCAGGACCTAGTTGTGCATATAGCAGGACCATGGCAATAACAATGCGAAAAGGAGCTGACCACAGATTGTGAAGTTGCTGGCATACTTGCTGCAAATATGAAGATAAAATTAGAAGTGTGCAAAGTGAGACAAATTACCAGCATGCATGGTATGTATGCACTAAATTTCTCCCTCCTCCCTAACATAGAAACAATAACTGAGTCTAAACGACATACCTGAAGGGACTCCGCGTCGGTTGAAATCAAATTTGTAATCCTTCCAGAAGCAAACTTCTTGCGACTATCATTTGTCAGTCGCAAGGACTTACGGAAAACAGCAGCAATCTGCGGAACATCAGGAAACCACAAACTTCTATAAAACTGATGAAATGATTGTTGAATCATTGGGAGTAAGTAGGTCCACATGTCTAGTGTGTCATAAGTGGATGACAACTAACCATGCGTCTTTTAGGGCAGCTGAGACAGCTAAGCTAGTTTATTTGAGGGAAAGTAAACTAGTAAATCATGAGGTAAGACATGTCTTGTTACATGAATCAGGAAGTGCAAGCCCCATATCAACATATCAACCATAAGTAGAAATGAGAGTGACAACAAAACAAAGTTGGACAAGGGATTCAGTGATTGCCTGTTGACTCTGCCTCTTAACAGAAAGCTAAAAAGCATGTGATGTAATTTTTAGGCTTTTATATATAAGACTTACCAAAGTAGACCTCAATCTGAAACCAGCCCGCGTGACATTCTGAAAGTACTGTGCTTCAGCAAGAACTCCCAGTAACTGAAGAATGGTACAGAAAGTTATAAAGGATTTTTTTTTTCAAGTCACAAGCAGCATCTTGGAGTTCAAGTGCACGTCATTAGCAAAGAAATGCAATGTACAGTATGGAAGAGACAAAATAGTCCATACCACTCCAGCAAAGATTGAGAAAGCATAGATGTACCCATTCCAAGAAGGATTGCCTTTTTGCATAGACTGCCAAAATCACCAACCTTTAGTGGCACACAGAACTAATAATAGCATTTCTACTAGGTGAGAGCAAAGGGAATAAAAAATTTGGATGTACTCCCTCCATATCAAAATATAAGACATTTTTTGACACTGTCATAGTGTCAAAAAAGGTCTTATATTTTGATATAGAGGGAGTAGCATTTAAGATATGCAAGGTTCGTGTGTTCTAACTGTGGTAGTTTGAGTATGATGGATATAAATAATTGATAAAACAGATTATTTTGCCGTAGTGACTCTGAAATGTCATGAAAGGAGAAGCATACCTCCAACAAGAGGCTCAATACGGTTGGGCCAACAAATTGAGAAGCATCATTGCCAATCTACAAATTGGGAGGGGAGATGATTACCAGATTAACACACAATAATTGCGATCGACTCAAACTAATATAAAAACTGAACTGAAGGACAGATCTTCTAAAATAACAGCCTAGATATTTATCTACAAACCTTAAAAAATCCTCCTAGCCAGAACCTTGAAAGTTAAGAAAAATAATAAATGTTAGCACAAACCAAATAGCAAGTAGCTGCACCCCGGAATTTTTTAGAAATATAGGTATCATATGTACAAATTTACCTTCCACCGAGGCTACTATGGAGAGCTCGTAGCAGCCAAGGTTTTGGTTTTTGAAGTTCATCGTTCCAGCATTTCTGAAATCTGAGACAAGATCCCAATGTCAGATTTGCATGTACAAAAGTATACTCATTTCAGCCAAAACAGTTGTAGAACATACCGGCTATACAATGTTTCTGTCTCATCCCAATTATCTAGTTTCCAAATATCATTATCAGTGATGGGCCTTCTGTATCCTTGTTGCATTAGAGGAGTCACCCATGAAAAGAATATCCCTGTAGAAAAGCAACAAGGCAAGCAAATTTACATCAATAAACTTCTAGAGAGGTCATGAGAGTAGAAAATGTGAGTATCTGACAGTGTGCAATGATTTATATCCACTCACAGGAAAATATATTCGCATGCCTTTCGGGGCAAATCTGCTCTCCACCTGGCAGAGGTTCATAATCAGTATTATCAACAAGCACCTCACTCCTGATTGGAGTATAACCCGGGTAGGGATCCAAGCTAGGCAGATACACCAGCATGAGAATTCCAAAAATGCACTGCACAAAATGCATTCAGTAACAGCAGAGATCCCGGTAGGGCATATTTTGGCTAAGTATGAGTTTTACCGTGATTTTTTTGTAAAATATTATATGAGTTCTTTTTACTGTTATTTTCTTGTAAATATTTTGTTAATGGTTACAAAATCACAATCATAAGGTAGTGCTTTCTGAGACAAATCAAGCAGTATCAAACATAATCATATATTAATGGATCATCCATTGGTCAAAGCTTGAAATTGGGTAGAGAAAATACGCCTTTCATGAAGGAACTGAGAGAGTAGACAACACAAGAGGCAAACCTGGCATATTATCTCGCTGCAGTATAGGTAGAATATTGAACTGCATAAGCAAAGTAAAAAAGTTAGCCTACATATACAGAGATCTAAACAGGGGAACTCCTTGGGTTACCACCCAATAAGCTTCATTAAGTACTTACTATACCTTGAACTGTAGTACTGCCTCACTGGAAGCACAAGATTGAACATAGCAGCTTTCCCAACCAATACATATATGACCACAAACCGGATGTACCATCTTAACTCGGTGATGTAAATTTTTGTCTCCAGCAATAGCATTATAAGCATACAGCACCAGGCAGCAGACTCGATGACCAGTGAAGTAATCTGTACACAGGGAGAGCTTCAAGTAACTAAAAAGGGTAATGGGAACAAGTATTTGGTACAAGTAAAGGTCTGAAAGCAGAGCATATAATATAATGCCACTGAAAAACTATTGTCAATGCTTAACTTTAGATAATTGGTTACGCATTCAGCTTTTATCTGCATATTGCAGATGGCACGTAACTAAACCCCATATCATTTTGCAGCAGAAAAATAAAAAATCACATTCCGAGTGACTTGTGAGATGCATACCAAACACAATATATATTCCCTCCAATGCAATCTATTGCTACACAGTTCTCAACAAATATAATTGCCATTTCAGCATACAAATTAAGCAAAGATTTGACAGCGGTGATATGAAGGATTCTCACCTCAAATGGAGCAAGGCCAGACTGCCCATCCAAGTTCGTGATGGA